CACCTTCCCACGACTCCCCGTCCCGCCTCCCAGCGCGGGATCCGACCTGCGCTGTCCACTCCGGCAGTCATTGGCCACAAGTGGCTGTTGAGCGCTTGAGATGTGCAGAGCGCAACTGAAGTACAGCATTGAAAATGAAAGAAAACATAGGGGAAACACTCCAGGAAGTAGGAGTGGGTACAGACTTCATGAATATGACCCCCAAAGCACAGGCAACCAAAGGAAAAATAAACAAAACGGATTATATCAAACTAAAAAGCTTCTGCACAGCAAAAGAAACAATTAACAGAGTTAAAAGACAACCAACAGAGTGGGAGAAAATATTTGCAAAATATACATCTGACAAAGGATCAATATCCAGAATATACAAGGAACTCAAACAACTTTACAACAACAACAACAACAAAAACAAGTAACCCAATTAAAAAATGGGCAAAGGAGCTGAATAGGCATTTCTCAAAGGAAGATATACGAATGGCCAACAGACACATGAAAAAATGCTCAAAATCACTCAGCATTCGAGAGGTAAAGGAACACGAAAATCAACTACAATGTATATTGAGAAGTTAAAATTTAAAAAAAAATAAAAATAAAAAAATAAGCGTAACTTTTCTGAACTACTGGTCAGCAGAGCATGGAGGGTCAATGAAGTAGAGCCAGAGCTTGTGTCTGAGAATAAAAGCATGACTGTGAAGCTTGCATCTAGAGAATAAAATGTCTACCTTGCAAAAAAAAAAAAAAAAAAAGTTTTTAAAAAGGATTTAAAGATTTTTCTTTTTTTATTTTGTAACCTCCAAAAGATCTCATTAAAAATATAGATGTTAGGGCCGACCCGTGGCTCACTTGGGAGAGTGTGGTGCTGACAACACCAAGTCAAGAGTTAAGATCCCCTTACCAGTTATCTTTCAAATTAGATAGATGATAGATAGATGAGAGAGAGAGAGAGAGAGAGAGAGAGAGAGAGAGAGAGAGAGAGAGATAGGTGGATGTTTAAAAAATTAAAGAAATAAAATTTTATTTCCTTTGAATTAACTTGTAGCTAAATACTGAAGCAGTCTAAACTATTTTCCCATTAGACACAAGCTTACTGTTTTGGTAAGACTACATTTCCTTTTAACCTCTCAAAACTTACATTGGAGTTGAGATGTACTGTGTCAACTACACACCTGATTTCCACGAGATGGACAAAAAGAATGTAAACGATCATTAACTTTTAAAATTTTTTTTTAATTTACCTTGGCTACAAACTTTTTAAATTATTATTTTTTGAAATGATATTTTAGATATCTGGGGATAAAATGCTATTGAAATTAATCTGACCTTTAAGAAACTTTTTTTTGGTGGGGGAGGGCTGGCAGGTATGGGAATCCAAACTCTTGACCTTGGTGTTACAACACCACACTCTAACCAACTGAGCTAACCAGCTAGTCCTAAGAAACTTCTTTGAGGTGGCTACTAGGAAGTTTAAAACTATATATGTGGCTGGCACTGTGGTTTGCATTATGTGCTCTTGGATGGCACTGGATTCAACACCACCCTGTGGGAGAGGGTCTGGTGTGCATCTGGTAGGGCCTTCCTAGACTCCTAGGAAAGGCTTTCTAGAAGGGCCTGATGTGCTTGGATGGCATTCTTATCCTGTAATGACCTTCTAGCACATTGTGTGTTTCTGTCGTCAGTTTCTGCTGAATGGTTTTTTCAGCCCCTATTCCCTAGCCACCCCATAAGCCTTCCTCAGGTGAGTTCTGCTGTAGAGAGGAAGGTAAGGACATGATGATGGTTTGCAGGGGGTGCGAATGGAGAAGCATGTATGCCTCACAACCACATGCCTGCTGAGGCTTATGTTTTCTTTCCTACCAAAATAAAGAAGATTCTAATGGTTTTAGAAGCCATTTTTTGTTTGCAACTTTCTGCTTTCATTTTATGGTTGCAAACTGAATTGCTACTTAGTTTGTTCCAACCAATTATTAAAGAGGCATTGTTTCCTCCTTGACTAAAAAAAAATGGCATTATCTAGCCTCCACCTCCCACACACTTCCACTTGATCCATCCTAAAGGCCCTCTTCTCCCACTGGAAAATATTTCCTCTCTCTTGCGCGGTTGTGCCTTTCTCACACCTGGCAAACTGCTACTCTCTTCAGAATCCTAGGCCAAGTCCGCCAAGTTTTTTATTTGTCCCCTTAGGGATGCCATTCTGGCCCTCTTTGGGACAAGACTCATCACAGTGCACAGAAACTGCTCCCATGCCTGAATTCTCCCTTTAGACATTGAGGTCTCAGGGAGTTCTAGGACTAGTACGTAGTAGGCACTCAAAAAATATTGAATACAGGTAGCTCAATTTTCAGACAGAGACCTGGGTTCTTGTCTCAACGTGCCACTAAGTTGCAGTTTTATCAAGGGTAGGCAAATCATTTGATTTTCTGAGCTATTTGCTCAGTGGTTCTCAACTAGGAGCAATTTTACTTCCCAGGGGATATTTGTCAATGTCTGGAGCCATTTTGGGTTGTTACAACTAGGGGATGCTACTGGAATTTAATGAGTAGAGGCCAGGGATGCTGCTGCACATCCTACAACACACAGGACAGTCTTCCAAAACAAAGACTCATCCTGCCCGAAATGGCAACGGTGCCGAGGTTGAGAAACCTTGATCTAGTTAATACCCACCTAACAGAGTTGCAGTGAGGATGTGTGAAGGGCACACCTACAAAAGGGTGTTGGAGGGCTGGCAGGTTAGCTCACTTGGGAGAGTGTGGTGCTGATAACACCAAGGTCAAGGGTTTAGATCCCAAAACAAAAACAAAAGGGCACTGGAAAGTCTCCTGCCTTGTGTCCACAAGACATGCTACAGAGGGGCATGACTATTATGCATGTGATTCACAAAACTTGTGGATTTCAGCAACAGTGCCAGAACCTGTCAGCAATAGGTGGGAATTCCAGATCCCTTGCAAAACTAAACTTTCCAATAGGACCAATTCTTCATATCAATTTCTGGCATCATGAAGATGCTAAACAAACATGAAAGAACAATAAAAAAACATTTCAAGGATATAACCATTAATTCTAACATGTGCTTCAAATCTTTGCTGAGATGGTATTGCTGTGGATTGATTGAATTGTGTCCCCAAACTTCATATATTAGAGGCTTAATTCCCATTGTAACTGTTGAGGGTGGGAAGTCGTATCATGGTAATGAAAGGTAGGGCCATGAAGAGGTGATTATATTGTAGGACCATGTCATAGTGAATGGATTAATAATGGTGGTTAGGAGCATGGTTCTGAGGGCTTTAAAAGGAAAGCACACGGGGCCGGACTGTGGCTCACTCGGGAGAGTGTGGTGCTGATAACACCAAGGCCATGGGTTTGGATCCCATATAGGGATGGCTGGTTAGCTCACTGGTGAGCTTGATGCTGACAACATCAAGTCAAGGGTCAAGATCCCCGTACTGGTCATCTTTAAAATAAATAAATAAATAAATAAATAAATAATAAAAATAAAAGGAAAGCACATGAAGAGTTTTTCTCTCTCTGCTCTGCCATTTTCTACCATGTGTGACCTGGGTCATAGTCACCACCACCAAGACCCTTGCCAGATGTGTTCTCCAGACTTTGGACTTCCTAGCCTCCAAAACAATAAAGTAATAAAGTAAGCAATAAATTTTGTTTTCTTATGAACCACCCAGTTCCAGATATTTTGTTATAAGCAACAGAAATGGACTAATACAGGTATGTTGCACATCACAAGGAAACCAAGGACTTTCATTTCTGAAATCTTTTATTGAGCAGGTGGCAGTTATGGAGTACTTATAATGTACCAGCGACTGTGCTAAGTACTTTAGATAAATTCTCAATCTAGGGGCCGGCCCGTGGCTCACTCGGGAGAGTGCGGTGCTGATAACACCAAGGCCCCGGGTTCAGATCCCATATAGGGATGGCCGGTTGGCTCACTGGGTGAGCGTGGTGCTGACAACACCAAGTCAAGGGTTAAGATCCCCTTACCGGTCATCTTTTAAAAAAAAAAAAAAAAAAAAATTCTCAATCTGACAACAACCCTCTGAGACAGTCAGATTCTACAGATGAGAAGAGCACTCTTATGATAAAGTACACTCAGAGAAGGTTAAGTACCTTCCTAGTGAATGCTGTATGCAATTTGCTAAACTGCCTCATTTGTGCAACACTTTAGCTCCATATATGCAGCAAGTTCAGGTTTGCAAGGCCTAAAAGGAAAGGTCTGTCAAAAAAAGCAAAATGGCTGGGCCGGCCGTGGCTTACTCGGGAGAGTGTGGCGCTGATAACACCAAGGCCACAGGTTCGGATCCCATATAGGGATGGCCGGTTCGCTCACTGGCTGAGAGTGGTGCTGACAACACCAAGCCAAGGATTGAGATCCCCTTACCGGTCATCTTTAAAAAAAGAAAAAAAAAAAAAAAGAAAAATGGGAAAGGTTATGTTTACAAAATGCAAAAGAAAAACAAGCCACAAACAGTAAGTTCAAAAACAAATAGCAACAACAACAACAAAAAATATGTTCACAAATTATTTATCTATTTTAAGAAGTAATGGATGTGTTATATTCAATTTTAAAATGAAAATATCAGGAAAACAAATATTCGCAACCCATGATTATGGGCTAATCTTAATATATCAAGAGCACCTACAAATCGTTTAGAAAAAGATAAATTAATAAAATTGAAATAGGTGACAGGGCTGGTCACACTTTCATAGAAAAGAAATACAAATGACTAAATGTGTAAGAGAAACGTAAAACAGAACAGCAATAAAATGGATAAAATGTGGTATACATATACAAAAGAATATTATGCATCCTTAAAAAGGGAGAAAATCTTGTCACATTCTACAACATGGATGAACCTCAAGGACATTATGCTAAATGAAATAAGCCAGTCACAAAAAGACAAATCCTATCAGTCCACTCATATGATGTATCTGAAGCAGTCAAAATCATAGAAACAGAAAGCAGAAAGATGACTACCAAAGGCTGGGGAGAGGGGAAATTCATGTTTAATGCATAGTTTCAGTTTTACAAGATGAAAAAGTTCTAGAGATATTTTGTGCAATGTGAACATACTTAACATTACACAACTATATATTTAAAAATGTTTAAGATGGTAAATTTAACGTTTTGTTTTACCACAATAAAACAAACAAAAATAAACCCTCCAAAATGAGAGCATCTTCATTTATCCAAGTAGGAAAGATCAATTTGATGTTGGCAAGAGGGCAAGCAAAGAGGCACTTTCCTAAGTTGTTGCCGGATCTACAAATTATCATCACACCTTTCGAGGGCAATAATGATCAAAACGGTGTGTCTTTTTGGTATCTGGCCAGTATGGGGGTCTAAACCCATGACCTTGGTGTTATAAGGCTGTGCTCCCACCAACTAAGCTAACCACCAGCCCACGATCAAAATGTTAAATGCACATATTCTCTGAACCAAGAATCATTTTTAGGAATATTTCCTATAAAAATAGCCACCCAGATAAACCAAGTCTCATGTACAAGAATAAGAACATCCAAGGGTTCAATCCCTGCACTGACCAGATGCCAAAAAAAAAAAAAAAAATCCACTGCGAAAATATTTATAATAGCAAAATACTGAAATTACCGAAATATCTACAAAGTACTACTTTAAATAACTTATGCTATTTTCATACAATGGAGTACCATGCAGCCATTAAAAATTAGCTGCCGTGTTCTGCTGTGAAATGAGCTCCAAAAGTTACATAACACTGCACATGACAAGCTACTCCATTTGTGCAAGGAAAAAGGTGGGGAGAGTGCACATAGTAGTACATACCTAGAAACTCTCTGGAAGGAGACACAAGAAACAGGCTCCAGGAAATGGAGCTAAGATGAGATGGAAATTAAGGGCCGGCCTGTGGCTCACTCGGGAGAGTGTGGTGCTGATGAGATGGAAATTTAATTTTCATTTTTATACTGTTAGATTTAGCAAGCATATTTGGACATGGAAGTATAGTGGGAGGGAATACCAATTCATTTCTTTTCAGATACAGTAGTCCCCCTTTATCAGCAGTTTTACTTTCCACGGTTTCAGTTACCTGTGGTTATCCACAGCCCAGAAATATTACATGGAAAATTCCAGAAATAAATGATTCATAAGTTTCCCATTGCTTGCCATTCTGAGTGATGAAACCTCTCACCATCCTGCTCCATTCTGCCTGGAATGTGAATCATCCCTTTGTCCAGCACATCCACCCTGTATATGCTACCCACCTGTTAGTCACTGACATCATCTGCTCTTGACATCCAACCATCAACATTGTCATGGCTCGATGACCTAGGATCACCCAAAATAGATGACCCTTCTGACATATGGTCAGAAGGTCAACAGTAGTCATAGGCATTTTATCATCTCACGTCATCACAAGAAAGGTGAGTACAGTATGGTATTTTGAGAGAGACCACATTCACATAACTTTTATTACAGTACACACAGCCCCTAATGTATGGTATCTCAACTTTACCATGGTGTGAAAGCAACACATATTCAGTATTCAATACTTTACATTAGATATTCAAAACTTTATAATACGCTTTGTGTTAGATGATTTTGCACAACTGTAGACTAATTAAGTGTTCTGAGCACATTTAAGGTAGGCTAGCCTAACCCATGATGTTTGGTAGGTAGGTGTATTAAATGCCTTTTTGACTTACAATGGGTTTACTGGGATATAACCCCAGCATAAGTTAAGGAGCAAGTATATATTATAATTGTTCTATTTCACTATTGTTAATCTTTTATTGTGCCTGATTTATAAATAAAACTTTATCACAGACGTGTATGGGAAAAAACATAGTATATACAGGGTTTAGTACTACCCATGGCTTCAGGCATCCACTAGGGGTCTTGGAAAATATCCGCCACAGATAAAGGGAGGTTATCATACTCTTAGATAAGAAGTTTTCAACCTTGGTTGCTCATTAGAATCAACCTGCAGCTTTAAAAAATCCTAGTAGCCAAGTCCCACCAGAGAGCACTAGAGTCTGACTCAACAGGTCTAAAGATGGGCCCTTGGGTATGTGTTAATTTCCCCAGATGATTCTAATTTTCAGCTGGTGTTATGAATCACTCATATAGACCACTGGTTGGCAAGCTTTTTCTGTAAAGGGCCATATATTAAATATTTTAAGCTTTGTGGAACATTCATAAGGTCTCTATCAAATATTCTTTTTTAAAAGAGACCTTTAAAAATGTGAAAACCATTCTTAGTTCCTAGGTAATTCAAAAACATGCCATGGGCTAGAATTGGCCCACAGGCCATTTTGCCAACCACCAATTTAGACTGTGCAAAGGCTGGAAGATAGTCTGGAAAAGGTACCATAAGACAAGGTGAGGCAAAGAAAAGCCAGCAAGCTGCTGCCAAGAAGCCTCTGTGGTGAACTCATAGGTCTGGATCCCAGCCCTCTACCTGGCACCCAAGTTGTTCTGGTTTGGGTAGAAGGTGGGAGGGGTTTAGATTCACAACAATAAAACTCCCAAGACACATTATAAACCATCTAGTTTATTATTTTGTAGTAAGATGTAGAACTTTTACCATGCAGACTGAAATACCTATGTCAGCATGAACAACGCATTTTCTTCCCAGAGGCAGTTACATGAAAAACCAGGTTGTTATCATGTTGTTTAGCAAGTGTGAAATCCAGACAAGGGGAGGCTAATCTTAAGATCTATACCTTATCCGTGGAAGCTTGGGGCACACTTTCCCACCAAAGGGACAGCCTAGCCTCCGGAAAGCTCCTTGAAAGCTCTTTCCTCCCCTTCTTGCTCTGGCTGAACCACCAATGGTCACTCCCAACAGTCAGGTTGGCCTAGGAGTCATATCTCTGCTCACTGGTTTTTATCATTAACTCCACTGATACCAACAGTTAAGGTTCTGAAGGGGACACATCAGTTGCTCCCATATACCAACTATAAGACACAATAATCCTGTCAGGATGCTCTCCCAACCCCACTCTACTCAAGTTTTATCAGACAATATGCTTTGCCTACTTCCTACTGAAAACTGAGGGTTGTTTTTTTTTTTTAATTTTGAAAACTGAGGTTTTTAACTAGAACGTTTTTTCACTTTCTTGATCAGTGATTCCCAACTGTGTTGGAATTAATGAAACCAACTCTGTGTCACCACTGCTACCAAGACAAAGTACCAAGTGACATGTATTTTTCAGATTACATCAATGTTATATCGTTCTCTATAATGTAAAAAACGAGAAGATGAAGATGTACTCTTCACTTAGTATTGAATATTAGTAAGAGTCAAGTCACTGAAAAATGTCTTTCAACAGTAAAAAAGTTTGCTTTCAAATTAACAAACAAAATGTATTGCAAACATTAATAATGATAAAATTACAGAAAACAAAATATTCAGACTGATTTATGGCATTCACACCACACCAGAACTTTTGCCCGTAACAAAACAGTGAATTTTATCCCAAAAAGTATGTAGGTCCATGCTGACTGAAAACTTCAGTCCCAGACCCAACGAATGAGGATGAACTACATAGTGCATGCTTAACATAGACATAAACGTACACACTCACCATTCTTTAACTGCCCCTCATAAGGGCTATGAGGGAAGAATGGATGAAATGTGGACACGTGCACTCACACAGGCAGAATTCTCCTCCAATTACAAAATTTCACACGTGACCCTTTACTGTGTCTTAGGCATACAGATTTGGTTCATAGATTTTATCTGTATTTTTTTTATCTGTAGGACCCCACCTCTGAAAATCACAAGAAAAATCACTAGGAAATGCTTTAATATAAAATATACAAACTTCTCAGTATGAGGACTTCCACAGAACAGGAAGAAAGGGATGGCAACTAAAACAAATTTTCTTAAAAAATAACATTCCCCTTACCTTGTTCCTGCCACTCAACACTCAAAAACAAATCTGTACAAAACTAGGAACAACAAACACAGAAAAGGACCGGAGAGGATGTTATGTTGCAAAGTCTTATGACCCACTCTAAACTTCTGTCCTCGCCAACAACCTACCCTAAAGGAGCTGAGGGTTCTCAAGTCCACTGAAGAAAGTGAGCAGTCTCTGATCACCACCCCTGCTTTGCCAAGGATGGCCCCAGGTCACTCACTGTCAAACTTAATGGAATTGACCTGGACAGAGATGGAACCTCCCCGGTAGCTGCCCCGCTTCTTCTTGGTTTTCTCATGCCGGAAGGACTTGCCTTTGGTGAACTTCAGAACCTGATTGGCTCGTTCCCCCCAGTCTCCGGCTGCACCTCGCTAGTAAGTAAAGAAACGTGGTTAACACACAGAAGGACAACTCCAGGGGCCTGTGACTTTCTTCTCTTTCTTACTCCCTGCTCAAGGCAACCTGAACCAAAAGCTGTTCTCTCTTCCACCCCTCTCCCCATCCCAGAATAGCGAACACCTTCTTTCTCTCACCTTGGCATCAAAGGAGTTGTCTGCTACTCGTGAATCTACCTCAATTTCCTCCTCCCTGACCCTTCGAAATGGTGATGATGCCCTTTTTTCTCCCTGGATAAAAATGAAGTAGGAAATTAAAGATGTAGTGACCACTAACAGGTCTTCTGAGTGATGTGCTTGTGCCAGGCCAAGCTGTCAAGATGATCCCAGATTTTGCTACTTTTAAAGGGTTGGCTCCTGAGAGGAAAATAAGACAACTTACTTTCTTCCTTTTCGGAAATGTGTTGGGGGTCTGAAGCTTTATCTTCTTGGCTTGAGGTGTCTCTGTCTCCTTGGAAGCCTCATTCTGCTTCCGCTTCTTTCCTGAACCTACAAAACAAAAAGCCGGAATGAGGAGACCAGTTTCCTGTTCCTCCTCCCAGGTTCCCACAGAGGGTCAACAACTAGAAGCCTTGTGGCGAGCTTCCTCTCCCTACCCCATCCCCCAAGAGTATATCCCATCCTGATTTTTTTGTGTGTGTGTGTCTTTTTTCGTGACCGGTAAGGGGATCGCAACCCTTGGTGTGGTGTCACCCACACCGCATTCAGCCAGTGAGCGCACCGGCCAGTCCTATATAGGATCCGAACCCGCGGCGGGAGCGTCGCTGCACTCCCAGCGCCGCACTCTCCCGAGTGCGCCACGGGGCCGGCCCCCATCCTGATTTTGGGAGACAAAACCCAGAGAACAGGTTCTTGGGATACACACCTGGCTTGGAAACTGCCACTGCTTCCTTTTTCTTTTCTTCCTCTTCTTCCACCTCCTCTTCTTCCTCACTTTCCCTGCCTGCTTTTCCATTCTGAGCAGTCGGCATACAGGTGCCATTGGCCTTGGGGGCTTGTGGTTTTAGATTGCTCTTTCCCTTGGGCTTCTCTTCCTCCTCCTCACTTGAATCATCAGAGGAGGAACTGCTGCTGCTCTCGGCCTCTACTTTCTTTGTGCCTGCCTTGGAAGGGGCTACACCTTCTGCTGCTTTCTGCAACTTCTTAACTGGGGATTTAGATGTCTTCTCTTCCTCCTCCTCCTCCTCACTGCTGGAGCTGTCTGAATCAGAGCTGCTATCCCCACCACCCTGAGGAGCCTGTTTGGCAGGCACAGATGGAGCTGCTTTGGCAGTCACCTTGGACTTTGGGGTGACCACAATCTTCTTTGTCTTCTCCTCCTCACTAGAACTGCTCTCCTCCTCACTGGAGCTGCTATCCGCCTTTCTGGTCAGAGGCTTCTGGCCACTGCCTGCAGGTTGCTTGGGAGTTGCAGCTGGCTTAGCTGCAGGCGGCTTAGGAGTTGCAGCTGGCTTAGCTGCAGGTGGCTTGGTAGTGGCAGCTGGCTTACTTGAGGAATTCTTGGTGGTACTGGCTGGCCTGGCAGGAGCTTCATCCTCAGAGCTGTCGGAGTCTAGAGAAACAGGCAATAGCATAAACAAATCCCCAAATCAGATTCAGGGAAGCCCAGAAACAGCTGCCTGAGGGAGAGAGTATCCCACTGCCCAGGGGGCCTCTGCATGCCTTACCTGAGCTATCTGAAGAGCTCTCTGCTGCCTTCTTTGCTGGAGCTGGTTTAGTGGTTGCTTTAGAGATGACTGCCTTAGCTTGGGGTTTCTTCTCTTCCTCAGAACTTGAATCTGGGGAGAACCTGTGGCATTACACTGGGTCCAGAGTCCCAACCCAACCAGGAGAGCAATAAAAAGAATAATACAAAGACACACACAAAGCCTTAGCTCTGTCTTGCTTCAGTAAGAAGCAACAGAGGGACAGATGGATAGCTCTCTTCCTTATTCCTCACACCATTCCCTAGGACCACTTTCAGAGGGAAGCAGCATCCCTCTGACTTACCAGACTCATCACTGCTATCTTCACTGCTTTCCACAGGCTGTTTCTTCTCCAAAGCTTTCTTGAGAGGCTGGGTTCCCAGGGACTTCTTCGGTGGGGGAGCAGAAGGCGGGGGGACTGAACTGTAGGGACCTGTTTAAAAGAGACAGTGTAATGGTCTTAAAATATGTACACAAATTTTCTGATATTGCTCCTTCTAGAAATAGAGCTTAACTCCCCTTTCCTGGAGTGTGGGCTAGAATTAGTGACTCAATTCCAACAAACAATATAGTGGAGGTGATGGCATATTACTTCTGAGTCTAAGTTATACAAGGCACTGTGGCTTCCTTTTTGCTTTCCATGTCACGAGAACACTAAGTGGCCCTATAGAGAGGTCCATGTGACTACAATTAATTGTGCCCTGGACACAGTTGTACAGCTTGATTCTCCGAGTCTAGTCACCTGGTTTTTTCTTCAAAGGTTTTTTCTGCTCTTCTTCCTCCTCACTAGAAGAATCCTCACTGCTGGAACTCTTCGGGGCAGGAGTAGCAGCTGCTTTCACTGGGGCCTTGGCCACGACTTGCTTTTTAGGTATAGTCTGCAACAGAAAGAAAATCGATTACCACAGGAAAATGTTGACCCAACCAATCCTGCCAGGGAATGGAGACACACACCCCAGCCCAGTCACCTCTTCCCTGATAGAAGCTATGGCCCAGACCTTCTTGGGGATGGCTGCTGCCTTCTCCTCCTCTGAGTCGTCACTGCTGCTGCTGCTGCTGCTGCTGCTGCTGCTGCTGCTGCTGCTGCTAGCTACTTTGCCATTGGCTACTTTAGGTGCTGCTCGAGCTGGCGTACCTAAGAAGAATAAAGAGTACGGAGTACTAAAGCAAGTCAAAGGGCCATGAAAAACCTCCTTCCTATTAGCATAGAACTTAGGATTCTACCAATTCTTTTAACTTTACAGCAGCCATAAAGGAGAATGCTGTGGTTTACCCTATCAAAGGATAACTTTCATATGCAATGTTAGAAATACAACTACACAAAAAATAGATATGACACAAATAATTTAAATATGCCCTCTGAAGTCTTTCACTTCAACCTTTCAGAGAAGCTCTTATAAACCATAACCTGATCCCAGAACTGGCCAGCTGTCCTCCATCGCCCACCAATCATAACCTAACCTTCATCACATGAAAAGTTACAGAAAAAAAAAATCTTATTTATCCTATGGGATGAAGGTACAGGGATAAAAAGGGGATAAAAATGGTAGTGAAAAGTACAACGAACAGATGTATAAGTGGTCACAGTGGAATGGAATTTGTGGGAACAAAAATGTCTACAAAATGCAACTAAAGAATGCTAAATGGATACCATTTTTTAAAAGTACATTTTAGGGCCGGCCCGGTGGCGCACTGCTACAGTGCACCGCTTGGGAGCGCGGTGGCGCTCTCGCCAAGGGTTCGGATCCACATACAGACCGGTTCCCGCTCACTGGCTGAGCGAGGTGCGGGTGCGACACTGAGGGTTGCGATCCCGTTGCCGGTCCCGGTCCGGTACGGGCGCGACACTGAGGGTTGCGATCCGTTGCCGGACACGAAAAAAGACAAAAAGATAAAAAAAAATAAAAGTACATTTTACCTTGCTGCAATGACTATTTCTCTACTTACTAGCCCAAACTATAAAATCTTATTAATAAAAACCTTTTTAAAAAAATGACATCAACTAATACCTCTAGTTCAATCACCATTACCATTTCATCTTGTACCTAATGAGCAATTTTAACACCATCCCCAGAGCAGTCTAGTCCCCAGCCTAACCTCTTGGGAATAGAAATAGTACCTGGCTTGGCTGGAGCTTTAGCCTGAGCTTTAGCTGCCACAGGTGTTGTCTTTGGCTTCTGGTTCTTTGGTGCCTCATCCTCTGAGCTTGAGTCAGAATCAGAATCAGAGCTCTTGGCCTTTTTAGGAGGAGTTCTGGCTGCCTTGGCTTGGGGCTTAACTCCCTTCTGTTAGAAAACACATGAGGGGAATCAGCAGTAGCTTCTGGGCACCCAAAAGGCATCTTAGGCTTTTATTTTTTATGGGCCCAAAGGAGCATTAAGAGTGACAGAAAGCTAAGCAGGAGAGCATACGGAAAGGGCAAAAACTCTTAAGTAGAAACAAAAAGTTCAGACACTTGATATACTGGCCCTTTCCCTGACCTATCCTGCCAAGTGCTCCAAACAAAACACACTCTTATCCATGGAGCACTAAACAGTGTCCCAGAAGAACACAAATCCCTAGGGCATAACTGGTTGAATTCCCTCTAAATTCAGAGCCCCCGTTCAATCACAGACATCCTTTCCAAACCTCATACTTCTATCAACTCCCTGAAAATCCCCAGATTTTCTTCCCCATAATGACAATCATTATACAGCCACCATCACCCCCAGTCACAAGCTAGAGGCCAAGATTCCGGGTTTCTTCCTTTCCAAACCCTTAAGCAACTCCCTTTCCTTTCCAAAGCTGCATACTTGGACAGGCTTTTTCTTTTTGTCTTCCTCCTCCTCATCATCGTCACTGGATTCTTCACTGCTGCTCTCTGATGCTTTAGCCACAACCTTTACAGGATGCTGAGGCAGACTGGTCCGCTTGACAGGTACAGCTGAACAATAGCACAGGTCCCAGTAAGACTCAGCTAAGTATGTGGTACAGGCTGCAGCTACCTAGTCCAACCCCCCACCCTGCCTTACCAGCCTTCTTAGCTGGAGGTCCCTGAGCTTTTTCTTCCTCCTCCTCACTGCTGTCCTCACTGCTGTCACTGGATGAGGTCTTCTTCTTAGCCTTCTTATTCACTGGTCCGTTTGCCTGTAACTTCCGCTTCGGGGCCTTGGTGGACCTGCTATAACAGACTAGGCTAACTTCTGGGGGCTAACTTCTAAGCTTTCCCAAACCAAGGAACACAGCCCAGCCCACCTGGGGAGGAAAAATAGCCAAAGTGAAACAGGGAAAGCTTACTTGAGCCAGAAGCTATAGATGTCCAAGAGGGAAGAGGCATTGGCATCCTGCTGTGTCTATATAAGAAGAGAAAGAGCTGGGTAAGGAAATTTTATCCTGGTTATTCTAGGAGAGATCAGATTTTGTCTTAGTCTTTCATTAAATGTGACCTGTTATATACCTACTAAATTTGGTATAAATGTTACATCTGCATAAGACTTTTCTTACTTGCATAAATTAGAGGAAAAATATTCTATGTGTGATTCCCAAGTTTTGATACCAAAAACGTGGGCTATTCATGTAGTTTGTGGCACCATCTATCCCCCTACCTGGTAATCCATATTTATCAATGTCTTTTAAAAAGTTTATTTCCTTTACTCTAGCAATGTATTACCCAAGAATTTAATCTTACCCATGAAATAAAGGCACAAACACTAATACAAAGGGTGTTTGCTGCAAAGGGGATTATAATACCAAATCACTGGAAACAAGCTTCCAAGAGAAGATCGGTAAATAAGCTATGTCATATACACAGTAAAGAACAGCATTCAGGGGCCAACTGGTTAGGTCAGTTGGTTAGGGTATGGTGCTATAACACCAAGGTCAAGGGTTCAGAACCCTGTACCAGCCAGCCACCAAAAAACCCCCCAAGAAACAAAAACAGAATTGCATTCAGCTATTAGTTACACTGATACAGATTATTAATTGATGCAAAACATGGCAAGGTATTACAGTAATCACAGACTCAGAGTCAGACATGTATAGATGTGAACTCACCTCTGCCACTATTACTGTGTGACCCTGGACAAATTACTTAATCTCTCTGAGACTGTTTTTTTCTCTATAAAATGAAGATAATACTACACATCCCATTAAGTTGTTGAGAGGATAAGAGACAACGCATGTAAAGGGCTTAGCATCTGGAAACGGCATATATATGGCCCTTGGTCAGCCCTCCACAAGAATTACTTTTGTCTCATAAAACCAAAGAATTCTAACTCTGAAATACCCAATTCCATCCAGTATATTGTGGAAACACTCTCTGCAGTCTTCCTAACAGTCATCTCAAAACAGTTCCAGTAAGAAAGCAGCTTGAGGTTCTGGTCAAGATGGTGGAATAGACAGTCCCCAGCGTCACTCTCTCCCACAAATCAACGAATTTACAACTATAAAAATGTAACATCAGCCAAGTCAGGGCCGCTGGAGCTCAGGTGAAGAGGAGGAGAGACCTATGGAACTCATGAAGGCAGGAGGAACCACAAAGAGAAAGTAAAACCTGCCTTTTGGCCCGCGGTGGCTTTAATGCTGGAGCACACGGAGCAGGAGCGGGCAGAAGCCACAGCTGTGCCCTTTAGATGGAGTTACTTGGAGGCAGAAGGGGAGAAAAGGGCTTTGTTGGCCCCCAGGACAGCAAGACCACTAACAGGGTTCCCGTGGACCCATGCAGGAGTGAGGAGCCAGAACAGCTGAAAAAGGGGAGCCATTCAGAGGCCGGTGAGTCATCACAAGGGACCAGCACAGGGCCCGTCCCATCAGAAGTGTTTGGAGCACGGGCAGTGGGGGAGATGGGCCCACCGGGAGAACACTGGGGCACAGCAAGGACAGCCGATCCGCCCCCCAGTCAGCACAGGACAACTCAGAGGAGACTGGTCAGGAAGGCAGAATTGCATGGGGTGCACTTTAATGAAAAAACTCAGGCCCAGATCAGAGTTTCTACACAACCCAGGTGCACCAAGTATCAGAGCCAGAAGTACCTATAAGATCAACCATTAAACCCTGAGCGGCACAAAATAGTCTGTCCTACGGAAACAGCAGGAAAGCAGCAACTTAAGTCAACCACTCAGCTCAAGTACTGGTTCCCACAGGAAATTCCTCCCTGTTAGAAGTAAACAAAGGGCAAAAAATTAGTTCTTGCCCAGGCACACCACCAATGTCTTGGGGCCCACCAGGGGACATGAGGCATGGAGCCACAGGCAGGACCCCTGCCCACAACCAGGCACACCACACCAGCGCCTTGGGGCCTGCCCAGGGACCTGGGGCATGGAGAAGGGGACCGGACCCCCCTCCCACAACCAGGTACCCTGTGCCAGTGCCTCGGGGCCTGCCCAGGGACCCCGGGTATGGAGCCGAGGACCAGACCCCCCTCCCACAACCAGGCACAATGTGCCATCACCTCTGGACCCACTCGGGGACCTGGGTTATGGAGCTGGGGACTGGACATTCTCCACAACCAGGCACACCGCCAGCACCAAGAAGCATGACAAAAACATCTCCTCCATGTGGGTGGCCCATCACAGCCACCACGATAACCATGGCTGCCATGATGTCGGCTAGACGCCACAACCACCACACAGATGGTCCTCCAGCCACTGGAGTGCATTAACACAAGGAGAGTCACCAGCAGAGATAAAGAAAGGAGGAGGATATCTCCCTCCACAGAGCCCATTTCAGAGTGATGGAAGAGGCATCTGCTCTATAATAGTATTCGGGGACCTGATCACACCTCTCAGCATTGGACAGATCATTTGGGCAGCAAATCAACAGAGTAACCATTATTCTTTCAGAGGCTGAGAACAAATCTACGGTGATTGGGGGGAGGGGAAAGGGGGATGGAGAGGGATTGGACAAGGGGCATAAAGAATAATTATGATTTGTAACAATATATATGCTAGTAATATTGATTTGATCAACATATCTCAATGTTGAACCCCCAAAATTTGTATAATCAATTTTGATTCAATAAAATCTTTTTTAAAAAGTTCATGAAAAAATGGAATTAAAAGATAAAAAAGAAAGAAAGAAAGAAAGAAAGTAGTTCGATCACATGGCAGCCTATACCACCTTAAGGAAGTTCTTTCCCAGGCTAATGTGATACTTTCCTTTCGCAGCCTGATTCTGCCTCAAAAAACAAGCCTGCCTTCTTAGTCATGGTATCATTCCTCCTGAAGACTATCATTCTACCCTCTCTCAGCGTGGTGTTTTCCCATGCAAGCATGTCTGCTATTCTTGAGAAGTAGATTTCATACCTTTCACATTCCTGGTCATCGTATTCTTACATGTATTTGGAGCATCCTAAACTGCCATAACTATGCTTTCTGTGCACCAGCACTTGGATTGTTACTTTCGATGTAATACTGAAACTCACAAAAATCCTATCAAGTGGATTTTGTACATGTCTGTACAAACAGAAACAGACTCAGAGAGGTGGCAAGCTGCCAAAGTCACACATCTAAAACGTGGCAGAGCCTGATCCCAAACCTAGGCTTGTGTGATTCCATTAGGCAAAGCTCCAAGCCCACTACTATGCCTGCTTGGTAGGGCTATATGTGACGCTCAATCCTTCTGCTTCAGAATTAACTAAAAGCAGAATCCTGCCTCTATTCTCATTCATTTTCTTCTTTACTAAAGAAAATCCCAGCCTTCATTTCTAGAGCAATTTCACTTGAGTTCCAGTAAATGCTGTTGAAGGTATGGTCAGATCACGCTTTGCCTCAGCCAACGAAAAGCCCCCCAAAAGAACCAGGTGCTGCCAATGTCCTCAGTGTGACACGACGCTCGCTCCTCGCCGCACTCTGCCAGCCACGTGACCTGGGCCACGAGGGTTCCACGCTGCTGCTGCTGCAAGGCTCACCAGGAAAAAGAAACAAGACTCAGCTCTATCTAGTCAGAGCTGGTGGAAGAGGAGGAACCGAGGCCCCAGGCTTCCTCCGGTCACCGCCGATAGTTCCGCACAAAGGCCTGCTAGACACTGGACTGGAGGATCCTACCGACCTCCCCACCCGAAAACCTAAGCATATCAGGTCTGGAGCCTTGTGGTCACCCCACCCCGGCCCGCGCCCGGGACTCACCGCGCCTGTCGCTTTGGCGAACTTATTGGCCACCTCCGAGAGTTGGTTATCGCGCAGAAAGCCGAGCACGAGGGGATACAGATCGCTGGGAACCACGCGGCGCAAGCCAGCGTCCGCCATCCTCTGGGTAATACGCGTCACTACCGCTGCCGACGACGCACGACTCAGGAACTTGACAGGGCGGGCGCAGGCCCTTTGGCGTCATCGCGCCGGGCGGGCGCACAGCGGAAGGGGTGGAGCTCCACGGGGCAGTCGAGCCTTCACCTCAGAGGCGGGGCGAAAGCAAAATCTACAAACTCTTTCCGGTTCCATGCGTATCGCCATATTGGCAAGGGCGGAGCCCACGGGCCGCCACTTTGTGGAGGCGGAGCTCTAATACCAGGGGTCGCGCCCTCAGCCGTGGCGGGAAAACTAGAGATTTCCCGCTCGCGTTGTCTTTCTGCGCGAGGTACCTTTCCTCAGAGCTGCGATTTCCCGCGCCCCAGCCGGGATTCAGGTTCTAGAACTATGAGTGAACAGGCGGGCTAGAGTCGTCCTTCGCCACTCTAGGCTGTGACACGAGATCTCCCAACTGATCCCATTTGCGCTGCGATGGATTCCCACCCTTCATCTTCACTGCCTCCAAAACTCAGGGAAGCCCTTTCTCAGATACTACTGCAGCTTCCACACTCCTGCCTCCGCTGCAGAGGATCCTTCAAGTTATCCGTCGTGGTGGTCGGAGGTGTTGATTCCCAATTCCCCCTCCCTGTCATGACTTGCCTGTTAAGACAGTCCTCCCCACAATACTTATTAGTCTTATTCAGCTCCATGGAGGGAAAAGATAACATACACCAAACCTGAATCACAGCAATAATAATCCCTTCGAATCCGCAGTCCTGGAAAAAAAAAAACCTTCTTCCTCATGGGTCAGAAGTCTCCCTTTGTCATGAATAACTCCAATAACAGTGCCCAAGCCTGCCAAGTTAATTCCAAGTTCTGCCATATTTCAGGCCACATTAGCAGTCAGCAATCCCTACCATCCTACTCTTGACAACTTCCCATTAATGACCCTCAGGAAGGATAACGATCCACTTTCCTATGAGACACACGTGGTGTGTCTCAAAACAGGCACTCCCCTCTCCTAGATAGAACTCCTACAGCTCCCTCTTCTCCAGAGTTCTATCCACATGAGTTTTTTAAAACATTCAAGTGCTTGCTTCAGCAGCACATATACTAAAATTGGATTGATACAGTAAAGATTAGCATGGCTCCAGTACAAGGATGACACACAAATTCATGAAGCGTTCCATATTTTAGCTAAACCTGAGAGCAGCTGTTGCATCATCTAGTTCATCCTAAGAATTACAATAAATTCAACAATTAGCAATAAATGTTCTGGTTTTTAAAAATATATAAAAACAAAAAAAACTTTGAGTGCCTGCTACATGCCAAGCATTGTGCTCAAGCTAAAATGGTGAACACAACTGAAATGGTGAATGTATGCACAAGACTTAAGTTTAGAAAACCTTTACTTGGAACAAATATTTATTTGAAACAAGTGTGAGCTTCCTCTAGGTCTTTGCTATCCAAATCCCTTCTCGGACAAATATCATCATCCTCTTGTCTTAAATGCAGAATTTCAGGCCCCACCCCTGAAGTCATAATCTCCAAAAAGATCTCCTGGGGCTGGCTGGTTAACTCAGTTGGTTAGAGTGCAGTGTTAGAACACCAAGGTCAAGGGTTGGGATCCTCGAACCAGACAGCCGCCAAAATAAATAAATAAATAATAATAAAAAAAATCTCCAGATGATTCAAATGCCCTTTCAAGTTTGAGAAGAACTCCTCTAGATGACTGATTTCACAGACAATACACCTGAGAAGCCAAGTTCCAAACCCAGTGGGATTTTGCACCTGACCAGAGAGGCTCTAGGAACTCAGTGGAGGTGAGCATGTCCCCGATTGTATTCAGAGAGAAAAAGGGAATACATTTGGCACTAGCACCATAGAAAGAAGCACAATAGCACTTGGGAATTCTCTAGTCCATGTTTATTAGTCCACGTAGTGACTTAGATGTTCCAAACACTTGGGGGAACCCCTTCGCCCCACCCATCTTACATAGGAATACAAGTTAACTTGTTTCAATACCTGTTATAAAAAACAAATACCCTTTTAAAAAATCTGATTTAACACATTTTTTATTTCACTTTTTTCCATTTCTTTATAAAACAGTCATCTCCTCACTAGCAGCTCTCTCCCCTAGAGTGGGGGAGGGGGGTGGAGGAGTTTGGGCACCTCCAAAGAAAAAAGGGAAGGGGGAGGGCCCAGGGTTACCTCCGGAGGTTCTTCTGGGCCTGTTTCAACAATGTGTCAAAGTCAAGAGAATCAAATTTGCTCTTTACAGGAGCAGGGTCAAAGTCCTCCCGGTTGGAGTCTATAAAGGTAGAAAGAGAAACGTTAAAGTCTCTGACCACACTTCCCAACCATCTTCCATCCCAATAATGGATGGAGCTAAAATTGCCCCAATTTTAAGTCAAAGAGCTTGGAGAGCCCCCATTTTTCTTCTCATCCCACCCCTTAGGTTCTTTGTACATCAGCTGAAGGTAAGTCTGCCTAGCCTCATTCTCAAAGGCTTTGAAACCCTTCTGGGGAGGAGACAAAGAATGCTAAAGCCTCAGGCCCTCCCTCCACTCACCAAGATCAGAATAGCTCCTCTTGCAGAACTGCCTGCGGCCCCCAAAGCAAAGATCAAAGGGCTGCTCATCTGCTTGCCGCAGCTTGTGGCCACTCTCAATGGCTGCAAATGCCTCCTCAGCATAGCGGTAAGTGACGAAGCCGTAGTTGTCACTAGTGGGAAGGGTGAGGCAGGGGCTGGGATGGCTATTTGGGCACATGCCATGGAGAAGATACAGCACCCCAGGGTACAGAGATGGTTCTTCTCATTCCCCAACAGCCAACTGTCTGATTGTAAAAATGAAGGTGCCCCACATTGCCCGGCACACCGAGCAATGAGGAAAGCTAAAGAAACATCAAGGCAGATGAATGGGACAGAAAGGACATCCTGAACTCAGGGCCCAAGCTTACCCTTGAACACGGAAATGAATGGTGCACTCTTCAATCTCTCCAAAAACAGAGAACCTCTGTTTCAGCTCTGACCGAGTCATGCGGCCAGGTATCTTCCCAATGAAGACCACCCTTCTCTCTTCCTATGACGGATATGAAGAAAAATTGACATACCATGAGCCACAGCTACAGCTGCAGACAGCTCTCTAAGCTCATGGCTCAGGGGCAAGCCCCACCCCCATAACGTGTTCTACTCACTATTGCACGCTCCTTCTGCAGCACTCTCTGCCTTTGGTAATGGTCATGTGAACGATAAGAGCTGTACCTGACAAGTGACAGTGTTGTCAGCCCCCAGACACAAGACAGTTCAAGACTCAGAACTCTCAGGCACCTGCATCCCAGATGCACTGCCTCCCTGAACACACGCTCACCTCCGCCTCCTGTCACTTCTCCGGCGGGGAGATGGGGATCGCGAACGGCTTCTGGAACTGGATGAGGATGAGGAAGATGAGGAGGAAGATGAGGAGGAAGAAGAGGAAGAGCATCTTCGGGAACGTCCAGAGGAACTGCAGCTGGACCTGGAGAATAAAAGGACAAGCAGGAATGCTGGGAGAGGTACACGTATACTTCACTTACCTCACCCAGGCTCCAGCCCTGCCTCCCTCTCAGGAAGCCCTGCCTCCTGCTCAGGACCAAAGATAAAGGAGAGCAGAAGAGGTCTAGAAGAACACTTTTTCTTCTTGAAAATGATGAATAAACTGAGGCCCTTCATGGAACTTTAGATGTATCTAGAACGTTTGAGTGTTTTGGCAGAGATCGTATTTATTTTCAATTGTGCAGTTAAAAACTGAAAAATAGGGCCGGCCCGGTGGCGCACCAGAGAGTGCGCCGCCTGGGAGCGCAGTGGAGCTCCCGCCGAGGGTTCGGATCCCATGTGGAGACCGGTTCCCGCTCACTGGTTGAGCGCGGTGTGGGCGCAACACCGAGGGTTGCGATCCCATTGCCAGTCCCTGGTGCGGGCGCGACACCGAGGGTTGCGATCCCGTTACCGGTCAGTAAAAAAAAAGACAAAAAGGAAAAAAAAAAAAAAAAACTGAAAAATATTTAACAAATTAGAAAGAGGAAGAAAAATAAATAGAGACTCATAGATAAAGAGCTGAGCCCTGGGTCTCACAACCAGCTATCTGTGGTGCTGGGACCAGGCCTGGGTTTCTGGGTTACCACTGCACCCCTACAGTATCTCATAGGAATACTATGACCATGGCACAAAAGGGGGTGACTGCGCTAGACCTGTAGTAGGGGCCATTCTGAAGATATACATCACTGCCAAAACCCAAGAATTCTTCATTAACTAACTGGGAAAACTTTGGTCTGTAACTGAGAAAAAAAGATACCACCAGGAAATAGATAAGGCCATAGTGACACTAAAGGAACTGCCCCAGTTTCCTCAACAGATGATTAAAAGAACTGTTTGGGGGGCCAGCCGTGGCTCACTTGGGAGAGTGTGGTGCTGATAACACCAAGGCCATGGGTTCAGGTCCCTATATAGGGATGGCCGGTTAGCTTGCTTGGGAGAGCACGGTGCTGACAACAGCAAGTCAAGGGTTAAGATCCCCTTACCGGTCATCTCTAAAAAAAACTGTTTCCCATTAGTTAACCCACCATCCCACATACCGCCAAGAAAATGCCATAAATGAGAACTGATACAGTGTGCAAAGAAATCAACATGGTTAATATCAAACCCTAACAGTCTCCCCAAAGCAGGTCTCAAGGAAGCAGGAGATCTTGGGGATACCCCAAACTCCCAACAGGAGATAGATGCTATTGTCTCATAGCTTGCTTTCTTCAACAGTCCAGGAAAGGGGAGAAGACAAAAGCCAAAGACCTAAATAGAAGCCTTAGTGCCTGAAAGTACCAAAGTCAATGTGCAAAAGCTTTCAAAGTAAACCACAGAAGAGGATACATGATCTTCCTAAATGGAGAAGACCTAACAGGCCATCAGAGCTCACCTTCGCCACCTCTTGTGTGGGGGAGAGAGGGACCTGGACCGGGATCGGGATGAGGAAGACGACGATGAGGATGAGGAGGAAGATGCTTCACTAGTC